ACACACGTGTATTCAGAGGTTAACCCGCACGCTGTTCGACAAACCGGGCACCAAACCCGATGGTCGGTTAACGTATGGGCAGGTTTATTTAAGGATCGCATACTGGGACCAGTGTTTCTGCCACAGCGACTGAACAGACAGCGATACCATGTCGTGAGGTTCGTCCGTGAGCGCCTCAATGAGCTATTTGATGATCGCTGGATCGGCAGACTAGGACCACACGCTTGGCCACCTCGCTCACCAGATCTGACCCCGTTAGACTTCTTTTTGGTATGTGAAAGAAAGGGTTTTTAATCGTGAGTGTGATAGTGCTGACAAAATGCGCCAAAGGATCGTGGATGCTTTCGAGAAACTATGTACGGACTGTGTCGAAGACCACACGATGATGCCCCGCCTGCACCCAAATCTACCTTGAAATGAATGGAGCACAATTTGAGCTGCATCTCATAAGACCACGGAGGATTTAGAGCGGTAAGCTGTTTCATAACTACTTTTTTTAAATAACTTAGTACTGAACTAATCTGAATAGGTACATAACTGAATACATGAGAATAATAAACATACCTACACGATGAATAAAAACGCATGACTCCAACCTTGGTTACATTTCATTTAAGTATTTTTTCATTAGCGTATGTAGTGGTATGGCCCGCTAGTTGCGGGCCGCGCGAATTTGCGTTCGCGAGTACATTGACCTTTAGTCAGGTGATACAATTCAGTCATTCCACTGCTGGTTTTATGTTTCAGTATTTTCATGATATTTTTTATTAAATTATCGTTTCATTTAGCTGTACTAACATGATGGCGCGTGAATAAAGCTAATAAAACGTTGTTAAAAGATGATTTTTTTTTCATCAGGATCGAATTTATTTGTGACCCATGATCAAAGGTATACTTGGTGCTGTCGCCTGTCTTAGTTTTCGGGAGCGTTCCAAAAATACCCTGTATAATGTGTACGCACCGTTATATGATAGTTTATCTATTGAAAAATCCGTACTGATCGAATAGAATGCTTTAGAAAAATCTAAAAGAAAGCATATCAATATCATATCAATTGTTCAACTCAATCTATTTTTAAAACTCTTCATCTATCATGTGGGAATCCATTAAATGTAAATGGCAGTTTAATTTTGTTTTGTTTAGTTATAAGTAATTTTTTTCGGCTGCAAAATTTGGAAGTGTTCGGTTTTTTAGAAGCCTTGTATGAATTTATTTTTTACTAAATAGAGACTGCCTCACTCAATCAGTTAGTTCGGCGTCAATTGCCATCGTGAGTGTATACTGTATCGGTTGTTTGTAGCGGCTCAAAAGGATCGCTGTACAAATACACAATATTCGAAAAACCAAATTTCATACATAATAACTTATCATAATAATTAATCAGTTATTTTTATTACAATATTTTAAAAGCACAGAATAAATAATAGCAGAATGTTCTAAGAGTAAGTAGGGTGTAATATTTATACTTAAATACGTCTTGGAATTTATGGAGTGACCTGAATGATGATATGATGATCATATGAGCATTATGAGTCGTTCACTTTTGAATTTTCCAAACTTTTTTAAATTGATTTTTGACATAAAATTATCGGAAAAATGGAAGTGTATTAAGGTTATTAGTGAAAATTTGTGTGTATTTAAATTACTTTAGAAAATTACGTATAATCATGTTATACGTATTTTTTTAATGCTTAGACTATGCCCAATCGGATTTACCAATAGTTTTTTTTACATTTATTCACAGACTAGCTGTTACCCGCGGCTTCGCCCGCATGGTAACTGGGAAATGAACTATCCATTGCTTTTTGAATTGAAAGAAAATTTAGTTCTATAGATTTGTCAGAGATGCAGCCATTAAAAGGAAACTGAGCAAAATTGATTCGTCAGCATATTTAAATGTTTTGAAACGCAGCGTATAGGAAAGCATGAAAATAGCCTGTTTATTCCAAATGGAAATGGGATATTTTTTTTAATTAAAGGAAACTGAGCATAATTATCCGTCAGGGATGCAGACTTTTGAAAAGAAAGTAAGCTAAATTAATTCGTCAGAGATGCAGTTTTCTGAATTGAAAGGAAACTGGGCCAAATAAAAGATCCGTCAGAGATGCAGCCTTTTGAGTTGAAAGGAAACTGAGCTTAATAGGCCCGTCAGAGGTGCAGCATTTGGAATTGAAAAGAAACTGAGCTAAATAGGAAATTTTGAATTGAAAGGGAAGGTCTGTGGGAATTCTGATTAATTGATTGTGGGAGTTTTGAAAAAAAAACTAACTGAACACTATTTTAAGACGCACACAATGTTATATGTTTTTCCATTCGGGAAAAGAATGTGGAGATTCTGGGCATTTGACACACACGAACATGCTACATATAGCTAACCATGAGAGAAGCACGGTTTTTCTAAGTTGACCCCCGTTACCTGTAACGTTTGCCCTTGCGCTTTATTAATGGTCATTGCAAAACTGAGCTTAATAGGGAACTGCAACCTTTTGAATTGAAAAGGAAGATCTGTGGGAATTATAGGGATCCGTGGTATAATAACATTTTCACCTTTTCCTATGCCTGTCAAAATTGTAGCACCGATTATGTTCCGTCCAAGATGTATCACACGCTGCCTTGTCCCGTTACATAACCGAGGAGCATCTAAATTTCGCATTAGCATGACTGGGACGCCTAATTTTAATTGAAGCTTATGTGAGGGCACACCTGACAACTCTAGAGAATTTAGAAACTCTACGGGATATGAAGTGCTCTGTTCTGTGTCTATAACTGTGTCTACTGACAAATATCCTGTTATTTCGCCTGCTACTTTGCTTAATATAAAATTAAACCAAATTTATTTTATTAACGCTCTCATTTTTGGTGCAAGAATCGCCCTTTCACATAACCATTTGTCTTCATGCATGTTGTTCGTTAAATCTGAATAAACGCTCGCAATTAATTCGGAATGACTCTGTACTAAATTACAAAAATCTCTCGTCAATTTAACGCAGCCCTCAGCATCCGTTTCCAACCGCCCATCGCCAATTTTTAATAGTGTGTCAGCATAGTTTCCAGTATGATATCATTATACAAATGCACTCTCATATTCGTAGTTAAACTGAATTTTGTCACCTTGTTGTAAATGAAATTGTATACTTGGGGAGTGCTTTTAGCCGGGATGGAAGATGTGATTTAGATGTGATGTTAGACAGGCGTGTCGCTGCCAGGAACAAAGTCAATGGTGCCCTGACTGCGTTAGCCAAAAGGCAAGGCGTAGTGAAGAGTGCACGCCTTGCAATACATAACGCAGTGTTGGTACCGACTTTGTTATATGGCAGCGAAACCTGGGTATGCCAGAAGAAGCATAAAAGCAAGTTGAATGCAGTGGAGATGCGATATCTTCGTAAAATGTGCGGCGTCACCATGGCCGACCGAAAGCGAAACGAAGAGATTCGCAATATGGCAGGTTTGAAAGATGACCTTATCACAAAAATTGATAAGGGCGTGCTTCGGTGGTTTGGGCACGTTGAGCGAATGAGAGAAGACCGAATGGTGAAGAAAATATACAGCGCGAAAGTTAATATTAAAAGGTGTCGAGGTAGACCGAGACTAACTTTCGAAGACCATGTGAGCAAATTGCTCGAAGAGGGGAGGGTCAAGAGTACTCGGATACCTAGACGTGCATGTACGAATAAGATAATGAATCTGAAAGAACCGAAAGAGGTATGTAAGGATCGTGACACTTGGCGATCTGTTCTCTCTGGCTACCCCGTCAGGGATTGTGCGTGAGAATAAGTAAGTTGTTCCATAAAATAGACGACTTAAGGCATGCTTTAATTTCATCTACAGGTGTGCCCTTTTGAATGACAGGTAAATTTTGGCGAAAGTCACCAGCCAGTAAAACCACCATTCCTCCCATTACATCGGTATTGCTGCGCAAATCCTGGAGCGTTCGATTTAGTGCTTCTACAGCTTATTTATTCATTGTACTTTCGTCCCACGCTAAAAGTTTGCATTGTCGTAGCACTATACCTCGTGCACTATTTTTGCTAAAGTTGCAGATCGGCGATTCTTCCAGGGCTAGATTTAGAGGGAGTTTTAAAACAGAATGTGCAGTGCGGACCCCGCTTACCAGCGTAGCGGCTATACCGGAGGAAGCTACGGCCACAGCAATGTTTTTATCTTTCCGTACTTGCGCTACAAATAAATTTAACAAAAATGTCTTCCCAGTTCCTCCAGGGGCATCTAAAAAGAAAATTGCACCATTTCCAGATTCAATTTAATCTAATACTTTGTCAAAAACTCGTTTTTGTTCGGGAATCAAGCGGGGTACAAATTCGGCTACTTGCTGCTGCAAAGCTGGTATATCGTAGTTTGTTTCACGTATAATTTCATCACTTAGTTCATTTTCGGTTGTTCGCTGAGGACTTATCATTCCAAAGTCGCTTAATTTTTTGCCTACCATTGCCATTATTTTATCTTCAATTTTTCCAAGTGCTTCATTATAAATGTGTTCATTGTAAGTATGTCATGTTCGCGTGTGTCTGCTGTAACCTTCGCAAAATATCTTCCACCATGTACTCTTTATATTTGTCCCACAATTCATGTGCATTAGATAGCCCGCAAGATGATATGAGAGTTGCATAAAGATCCCTAATTTTGGCTGGTGACTGGCACTGCACAGCTTCCTCCATGGTTTCATCCCAGTGATTATCGTTTTCTAAAAAATGCAGAGCTTCACATGCTTCTCTATAAGTTGCGCATTCCTGACCGTCGACAGTTTTAAAGTCTTTATATCCTGTAGGACCCCGAACATGGTGCAGCAGCAATCGTAAACAGAAACATTCAAAATTAGTTACATGGACGGTATACACACGACCGAGGGCATCTGATGACTTTACACCGGGCCAATTTGCAACAGGCGCGCCTTAAATACGGCGTTTCCACTCCTTCCTAGATGTGTTCCAAGTATAATAGCGGGGGACTTCAGAATATAACAACGTTTTTGCATAGGGGTCGGTTTAACAAAGTTGAAAGAAGGCTGTTAGTGTAGTTTTTGGCGGTGATGCAATTCTTTCTTGGAAATTTCTTTCGGTGAAATATACACGCTCTCCATTTTCTAAGTGCACAGCAAGGTGAGTAACTGTTAGGTGCCTTTCGTGTAAAGGGAAGCCAAGGAGACGCCACGCTGCCTCGTTACTGCTGACATAACGCCCTGCTTGAAAGGTCTGTACTTCATTAACAGGATTTGCCTCACCTTCACTCCTGAGATTAAATATTGCTTGGTCGCTTCCTTTATTTATGTACTTACAGATATACTTGATTGCGCGGACAGAGCTACATGCTTCTACATTAATATGGGCATTAAACATTTTACATAGAATGGGCGAATACGGGACAACCCAGCTGTTATCTAAGGTTTCGAACGCTCCAGAGCGAGATTTGATTGTAACTTTCCTGCCACCATCTTCGGGAGCTCTGCGTCTGTATAAAGGGTAGCCATTGTCATTTTGCACTGTTTCTTTTAATAGCTGTTTAGGGAATTTCTTTGTACATTTTCCTTCTTTCATACATGGCGATATTGAATTTCGTGCTCCACACGGACCGTGAATCATATTTCGGACGATGGTATCATAGAATTCTTTATCTTGCTCAGGATCTGGAATCTCGGCGCTTATTATGTCGTCTATTTGGCTGGGCCGCAATTTCTCTTTAAGCCATATTAGAATGTGGGCATGCGGTAATCCTCTTTTTTGCCATTCAATTGAATACATGAAGCACTGCACCTCTCCGAAAATTTTCCCTTTCTTAATTACATACATTAATTTTTGTACTTTTAATCTAAATAATCTAGCAACTCAATCGTGTCTGTCAGTACTTTTTAGCTCGGCATTAGCTCCTCGGTTATTTCTTTCCATGTGGGATTGCAAGTAAAAGTAACAAAAAGATCAGGTCTTCCGTAAGTTCGTACATAGGCGAATGCGTCTTGTGTGTAGTCATGTAGGTAGCGGGGACTGTTAACGAATGTTGAGGGTAGAATTACCATTTTACCTAAATCTCTGGGGTTACATAGGCGTCACTAGAAACTGCATCTTGTAAATGTATATAATTCTCAACGCGCAGCTTTTTTTATTTAAAGATATATAACGGAGACGTTCACTTTCTACCTTCACATACATGTCTACCAAAAATTGATGAAATAATTGTCTACACCGGGCTAAGTGGTTAAAATCATTTTCTCGCAACATCATATGATACGCATAAAAATCCATACATGATACTTTTTGTTCGGACTAGGCTCCTTTGTGACCGGGTTAATGAGTGGAATTTGAAAATGATAACCCTCTTGTCCTTTGCAATAAATCAATGGGTATTGCAAAGCGTCATAAAACTTGTGTGTATCGGCTACTCGTTGCAACGTATCATCACGTGCTCGCAAGACAATATCTCGTGAAGAAAATTGATCACCACTAATTTCGGCTGCTATTTCGTTTATCAAAGGTGCATTGTAGCGCCTTTTCTGCTCTCTTCGAGGGGTCCGATCTGCGTGAATGACGACTTTATAATCCTCCTCAGGTAGGTTTTCTAAAGCAGTTTTAAATGTTTTGACTAAAATGTTACGTTCATGCAAGAATCATTGAATTTTGAACACTGTGTCTCTCTCAACTCCCTGGATAAATTACTACCTCAATTTCTTCGTCACCCATAAAATACACTTGTAAAAATTTATGCTGTTCGTTTTCAGTTGGAAAAAGTGAATCTATCCTATGATAAATTTTCCCTTGCACCGTAAATGTAGGCGAAAATCCTGGCATTATTATTTCCCGGTCAACTCCGAAGGACGTCATTTGAAAGCATGAGTTATATTTCCGGATCCTGTTTATAAAGTGCCGTGACTCATTAGCATCATATAAAAAGAGAGTTTTCAAAGGTTCTTCTGGTTCCCCAAGTAACGGAAGAGACGCTTTGCCATTGGAACAGTACATGCCTGCGGTCTCATCTGTCCATTTTAAAGCTCTGCAAAATCGACACGCCTTGTCCATCAGTCCGATAACAACTAACCTGTGATTTTTTGCAGCCTGACGCTCTGTCTGTTCAAGACGCCTTTGCTGACGTTGAGAAGGTGTCTCAGATGCTCTAAAAGCAGCTTGACGCTCTGCTTTTTCTGGCATTCTCAGTTCAGCATCTTCTAAAGACTCTAGCGATCGAGCTAATCTTTTCGCTTGTCTTTGAGAAGATACTCTTGAAAGGCTGAACTTATGTTTGGGAGGCATTATGAAGTAACAAAAAACCTATTTATAAAAAAACGTTAAAATACCTAAAAGGAATTAAATTTCCGTTTAAATATTTTTTAAAAGCAAATCCAAAATATCTAAAAGGAATAAATATTCCTTTTAAATATTTTTTAAAATAAAAGCAACAAAACAAATTAAAGACACAACACGAATCCGAAAACGATAGCCAAAAAAATCGAATCAACTTAAACCAAATCACAAAACAAATCGCAGAAAACCGAAATCGAAAGCAGTAGTCAATATAAATATAACCAACGAAAAAAGAAGTAAATATATAGGTATCGTATACACTATCTATACTATTAATATTCCTTTGAAATATTGTTAAACAACCTAAAACAACGAAAACCAATTCACGATTCTAAATATACAAAATCCAAAATCAAAGCCAGAGTCTAAATATGTATAAAGGAAAGGAATACCAACCAAATCAACAAAACCGATCCAAGAAAATACACAAATCCGAAAATGAAAGCCAATACAACCTTATATTATTATAAGGTTATATTGGCCAATATAATTCAACCTTAACCAAATCACAAAGCAAATAACAAACAACCGAAATCGAAAACAGGTAGTCGAATAAGCTACGAAATAGAAACAATTTAAGCGTATAGGTACCGTATGCACTATAAGTTGACACGCGGCTCAACGGCGGGAGTTAAGTACATGTCATGAAACATTTCGTTACCGCGTTTTAAAAACTTAGTAACGACATCTAGCGGAATCAATTTAAACTATGTATACGTTAGTTAATAAGAACTCTCAAAAGATATTTTTTTTATAATTTTGCACAATTTTTCTTATTGTAATACCGATTCATTGATAACCACATATAAGAACTATATTCATTTCCGTTCAATAAATATTACTAAGGCTTATTAATATGGCTTACTAAGAACTGTTTCTACCACAGTTAAGTAATAGTTAAGGGTCAAAGCGTTACAGGTGGTGATAGTATTTCTGATCCATACTTATAATCACGCCTGTAAACCTTGCGGGGTAGGCAGAGCATCAACGGATTACTTAATATCGTCTGCATGGTCGCCTATTCTGTGAATTACAATGCACCAAAACGTTTGAAGAAAATCAGCTGGTGAATTTTATGTTTTTTATCGCTCTCTTCCCGGTCCTGCGTGGAAAAATACAGATCCATACATTTTTTATCTTAATTTTGGTAAAAAGACATAATAATCCAAATATTCTGACCTTCTGTGTTCATCCATCGTACCGTCGTCCGTCTTGTAGAATCACGGTGGCGCCACCTAGCTGAATTTAATTTTGCAACATATTCGATTTTCTCACGGGAATGAGATGTTTTTCTGCAGAAAAAAGTAACCTATGTCACTCTACAGCCACCGAACTATCCCCATACAAAAAATCATGCCATGCCGACGCTCTGTTGCGACGTGAAAGAAGGACAAACAAACAAACATACATTCGCATTTATAACATCAGTATGCATATAGTTTGACCTGTGCATTCAATGTTAAATATATATTGCACATGAACATTAACGATATTTACAAGAAAATAAAATATTAAAATGAACGCATTCTTTGTTAAAACAACATCTAATACACCGATCGAAATGTTACTGAAAATTGTTATTTTTATAAATTTATAGCGTGATGCGATTTTTTGTTCGAATTAACGAAGACATCAGTATTATAAACATAATTATTCTTATTTAATGAACTTAAAGAGTAGATACCATTTGCTCATTCAGAACGTTGAAATGAAAAACGCGAACTTTGTAATTTATTTCCTTTGAAAGTGAGATGTTTAAGAAGGAAAAGTGATTAAAAAATTCAGAATTATGTTCCATCCATCACTAGATGGTTTCGTATAATTTCAGGTTTTTTGGATCGCTTGCCACTGGGAAACAATCCCCGCGTTGTTTTTACTGTATTTATATTTTATATACCTAAAATATAACATTATATGTAAAAAACAATTATATGTAAAAAAATCTTATAAAGCTTCAAATCGATACTTACATATTAATGACCATTTGAATAATCATTTATTATCGCTAACTTATGTCAATAAAGTATTAATGATATTTTTTTATAGGATGAGGTGACAAACGAGCACACAGTCCACCTGATGGTAAGCGGTTGCTGTGGCCCATAGACATCTACATCTATCCTGGTTTGTGAATCAAAATGTAGATGCGTTGTCAACCGTGAGGACTAAGATAGAATACCTCTTTACCAGTAAAAAGGGTATCCGGTTCTTTACACTCACCATTCAAAATACAGCAGTGTTAAGCTGCTATTTTACGCTGCTAATCTGTGAGAGCGTGGTCCTTCCCCGGTCAAGCCGACCCATTCGTGCTACAACTATACTACCAATATAGCTGCAGCATGGCTCTACCACGTTAAAATACTATTTAAATGATATTTATTATACCTGTCATTTTTCCTTGTCATTTAGTGAAGGGAAAAAAAGGGCAACTGTAAGCATTTCCTAAATTGATGCCGATTTTTATAAGTGAGGCCGTATCGTAGTACAAGGAAACCAAACGTCAATTTCAAAACGATGCCCACAACGATTCCCACCAGAGCAAAAATAATTTAACGTGGTAGAGCCACGCTGCAGCTATATTATAATTTCAGCATGAATAGCTCGGCTTGACCGTGGAAGACCACAGTCCATAGAATAGAAGCGTAAATTTGCAGTTTTTTGCTACGTGTGGTGAGTGTAGAGAACCGAAGACCCTTTTTACTGATAATGAGGATTTCTACGAGTATCTAAGTACTCAGGGGTAACGGTTTAAATTTAAATTTTGAGTTGAAGATAGATATAGGTGCCTATAGACCACATTATCCACTTACCATCAGGTGAACTATCTGCTCGTTGGACACCCTTATTTTACAAAAATAAACTTAAGAGTAAAAGGTAACAATCTCTTTCGCTGTATCTAACTTACGTCTGTTTTATTGTTTGAGCGTTACATCGGGCAAGGTTAGGTTAGGACGAGAGAAATACCTCTTTGTTATTATTAGCATTGACTCCTGTAACACAGGCTTTCCCAGCACAGGAGTCAAAGATCACTGTCTGCACATTTCGTTTTGTTTGTGTTTTGTGTAACTTTTCTTTATGTGCGTGTCAATAAATTATTATTATTATTATACTGTACTTGTTCGTGTTAGCTATTAGTCTTGATATAGTAGAACTTATATCAAAAGCAAAAAACGGCTCCGTGGCGCAGTGACTTAGCAATGAGTTGTTGCGCTGGGGGCCGCGGGTTCAAATCCCGCACGGAACAAGTATTTGTATGGCGTACAAATAATTGTTCCGGGTCTGGATGTTTGTCCTTGTGTAGTTTGTGTTTGTAAACTGCCTACACGATACAAGAGAAAATCCTAGTGTGGGGGTAACGTTTAAAAAAATAGCGCTTTATTTAATTTGATTAAATGAGTTCTCGCGTAAACGATCTAAAACACATAGCACATCAGTTCAGTTTCAAATTCGGTGATTTATTTAATTGTATATATTTTATCGCTTTTATTCAATCAAAA